CTAAGAGAATGAACAGGCTCATCCTGAAGAGGATGAAGCCAGGCTGCTCCTTGGAGGCAAGGATTCTGAAGCTTCATCTGACATACTCTGGACACGTTGCAAGGCGAGACCAGTCCTTGGAGAGTAACGTCATGCGTGGAAGAGTGGAGAGACAATGCAAGAGAGGAAGACTATTGATGAGATGGATTGATCAGTGACTGGGGTAATGGTGGCAGGTGTGTCAGAGACAATAAGACTGGCACAGGATAGGTTTAGGGCTGTTGTACACAGGGTCACTATGAAATCACAGATGACTCGATGGCACATAAGTTCAACAACAGTTTCAAAATCAATTCAATTACTGCATACCTCCATGTCAACAAATTTTTCTACTTGATAATGACTCTGGGAGTCTCTTGTAGTTATGAATGTCTACAAATTAGCTCTGGTGGTGTAGTCCATTGGAAGCTGTGCTAATGCAAAGGCTACATCTCTCCGGCTGTTTGAACCCACCAGTGCTCCTTGGGAGAAAACTGGACAACCTCTTCCCATGTGATTTACAACCATGTGAAACAACTATACCTTTCCTTCAGAGAAATTACATATCCAGTACAAAGAAAGTATCTTCATAATCTTGGGAATAATTTTCATGGGATAAGGGCATGGTTGAAGAGAAACTCCACACCTTCCGTGTTTTCCATAGTATTACTGAGTCTTAGTGTAGCATATCTTTTGGACCTGAGATCCCTGCACTAAAATGTTCTAGATGCAGAAATGGGCAAGATGGCGGCGGCAGCAAGGGTGATAGACCCCAAGACTGGCATGAAGCAGAGCCGTGGAGCCCTCACCCACAAAGCAAGAAATCTGAGCACCTTTGGGGCAGGAGGCTTACTGGAAGAGTGGTACCTTCACACATTCAGCAAGGAACTAGGTTTACCAGCCCCTGGAGCTTTAGGTGGACGTTTATTGTCAGAGGGGGCACTTAATGTACAGCTAAAACAATTTGCCTAAGCAGAGCAGAAGCCAAGGTCTTGAGACTAAGGACCAGAGGGAGACCTTCCTTTGGATAAGGCTGGAAAGAGGCTGTGCAGACCGGAGAACAGCATCCTGGATTGCCCCTGAACCTGAACTGTAGCTCTAGATCTGGGAGTCTTCTGAGGCTCTTACAGTGAATCGGTGAACTCTGGAGAAGCGGTTGGTGCCACAGGAATAGTGACTTTAGAATTGGTAAAAATATGTTAAAGTATAGGGGCTAGTCTGACCTCATAGGTATTAGGTTTGGACTATTGTTATTGATGAAGATTCTTCTCCTCGTAACGTTAGTGGAGGCCCGACACTTTCACCTCCACATACTCACTGTTTTCACATCAACTAAAAATTTCTATTTCAAAATGCTTTTTTTTTTTGTTTTTGTTTTTGTGTGCGTGTACCGTCAAATCAGATCTGACTGGTACAGGAGGAAATTGTCCCTCCTTTCCCGGCAGAGCATCTGGTGGATTCAAACCGTGCGCCTCTGGGATTGTAGTTGCAGCTCCTTGCCACTAGGCCACCAGAGCTCCCCTCAAAATTCTTTACAATATCCAAAAAGGAAAAAAAAGTCACAAAGACAGTGTTCTTTTACACCAAATAACTTTGCCTCCAAAAAGTGGACAGGCCTTTTAGAGAACAAGAGCAAAAACAAAAACTTTTAACCGGTTTAAAAACAAAACAGAACAACAAACAAACCACAACCAAAAAACTACGAGTTTCAGTTTGGCCTAGTCTAACAATACACTGATCTAAGATAGAACTGCAATAATTTTTAAAACACAACTCCATTGAACCCTTAACATTCCTCTGACAAGAGGGTTAAACTGAGTTCACACTGTAGCATAGAAATCTCATTCCCTGGGAAACAGACTGCAGAGGTAGAGACTCACAGTTTCTCATGTCACCTTGAAGCTGCAGAATTTCAGGAACTGGCATAGTGAGGACAACGAAGTCAAACAGCTCGGGGGAGCCTGCTTCCCTGGAGACTTCCCACTTATCATTTCTCAGGGTGATCCCAGTCACACAGTGTCTGAAGCAGACCTCTGCACCTGCTCCAAAATAAGACAAAAATTCATGCTCACATAATCAGAATTTTCTAAATCAATGCAGAATCATAAACTGGACCCACCCAGGGAGACACAGGGGTTAAGTGTTTTCTATATCCCTCAGGTTTCTCTTTCTTTACTTTCTTTCTCATGGAGTAAAAAGTCTTTCCCCTCTGGCACTCTCCATCTCATCATCAATGCTGACTCTATGGGGAAAAATACCAAATTAGTAATAAAAATAAGAAGTGTATTTCATTAACTGGAAAGAGGAGTGGCATCCACTTCCATAATAACTTGCCTCCAGAAACACTATGAACCTGGAGAGAGAATGAAAGGCACCCAAGCGTCGAGGACTCTCCTTCATAGGGTCGCTATGAGTCGCCTGCGACTCGACAGCACTTAACAACAACAATTTCATAAAAGGAGCCCTGAAGTTCAACAGTTTGAATGCACAGATCACTATGCTGGTTAACAATGGGTGAAAGGAGAAAGACTAGCCTAGAAGGTTGGTGAGATGGAACCAGCAGTATACAGTAGAGTGGGTTTTTTTTAAAAAAAAAATACATATTTCATGAAGGACCTACTGTCCCCTCAATATATAAGAACCCTAGTATCAGTCTAGAGACTAAGGTGTGCTTGATCCAGGCCACGGTCTTTACAATTACTTGCTATGCATCAGAGAGCTGGAAAATGACTAAGGATGACAGAAGAAGAATCGATGCCTTTGAATTGTGGGGCAGAGAAGTCTTGAACATACCATGGACTACCAAGAAAACAAATAGGTCTGTTTTGAAGAGAATAAAATAAGTTTCTCCTTGGAGACCAGGATTTTGAAGCTCTGTCATACATACTTTGGGCACGTGGCCAGGAAGGACCAGCCCTTGGAGAAGGACATCATGTTTGGAATGGTGGAGGGACAGCACAAGAGAGGAAGATCCCAAGTTAGATGGATTGACACGGTAACTGGAGTATTGGAGGTGGTTGTGTCAGTGTCAATGAGACTGTCTCAGGATAAGTCAGGCTTCAGAGCTATTGTACAAAGGGTTGTTATGAGTCACAGGTGACTTGACAGCACATAACAAAAATAACTTCAACAGTGGTCTAGTGGTAAGAAGCTGAAGAGCAATTCCAAAGGCAGGCCTTTCAAATGCACCAGCTGTTCCACAGGAGAATGATAAGCATATGAGATTAATGATACTTATTGCAACTTGAGGCTTGAATTTCTTTTTCAGCTCTTTCGACTTGAGAAATGACGTGTAAGTTTTTCCTTCTTTACTGTCCAACTACGGCTCTCTGCACATTCCTTTATAATACTCTGCTTTGTCTTCTTGAGCTGCCCTTTGAAATTTTCTGTTCAACTCTTATATATCTTCCCTTTGTTTTGGCTTCTCAATGATCTGATGTAAATTTCAGAGTATTTTCTGACATACATTTAGGCCTTTTCTTCCTCTCTGTCTTTGTAACAAGCAATTGCTCTCTTTATAGATATCTTTGATGCCATCTTACAACTCTTTGATCATTAGTGTTCTATGCTTTAAATTTTTTCTTGAGATGATTTTTAAGTTCAGGCAGGATAGCCCCAAAATAATATTTTGGTTCTTGTGGACTTGTTCTCATTTCTTCAATTTCAGTTTTAAACTTGCATATGAGTAATTGCTGATGTGTTTTACAGTCAGCACCTGGCCTCATTTTAACTGCTGCCAATAATTCTTTCTACAGATGTAGTCAGTTTGATTCCTGTGCAGTTAATCAGGTGAAGTTCATGTGTATAGCTGACATATGAGCTTCTTATAAAAGGTATCTGCAATGAATAAATCATTGAATGTACAAAAGAAGACATAGTAGAGCATAATTTGAATCCAGACTATTTTGGTTCCAAGTACTATTTTATCTTATCCTGTAGAAAAAGTCAACTATTTTTATTTAGGATAGAAAGAAGCTTAAATAATTTGTAAAGAAATATAATAGTAAAACTTATAGTAAGCATAATAAGTTCTAATATCATAATAGGATTGAGTAGAATACAGAGACTTTTTGAAAGATTGTTAAAAGAATTTGAAAATAAACACAGGAAAAGTTAATATAGATTCTAAAATGTAGATCACAGACCACAAACTAGATATCATTTTTTAAATGAAAAACAAAAAGTCAATTTCACACTTAACTAGTGCTGTTATAACAGCAATACGACAAGTAGAAGGATTTAACAAACAAAAATTTATTCTCTTAGAGGTTAGGAAGCACCACTCATCTGTCAGTTTTCCGTAATGTAGTGGCTTGCATGTTTCTGGGATGCTGGGAGTACAAGTATTTCACAAGTATTTCAAATGCAAACAGGGCCACCTATGGTGGACAGGTCTCAGGGGAAGCTGCAGTGGCCATCCATTATGAAATAATGGGCCCTCTAAACCTTACAAATAGCAATGGAATATTAGCAAAGTCTTGCTGGGAGAAGAGGCCCTCAGGTGGAAAGAATTCAAACTCTTTACCATTGAGTAGGAACCAACCCACCAACAGGTTTCCAAAGCTATAAGTCACATGGAAGGAGACAGCCTATCTTTCTCCTAGAAAGCCACTGGTGGATGCAAACTGAAAGAGAGACATGGTCTTTGGGTTAACAGGACAAATCCCTACAGACTTGGTTACCAGAGCTCCCTATCTGCAGCATTCAGTCATTATCACTCAAAGCCATTAAGTCAGAGTAGACTCATAGCTGACCCTCCAGTGGGTTTTCAGAGGCTATAAATTGCAGAGGAGGTGACGACCTTCCTCCCACATTTGTGGACATGAACTGATGGATATGAGCTTTTGTGTTAGCAGCACAAGGTCTATGTGTGCCACCAGAGCTCCTGCTCCCTGTCCTGGGCATTGTTGTTGTTTATGTGCCGTCAAGTTGCTTGCGACTCATAGTGACCCTATGTACAACAGCTCTAAACTCTGCTCTATTCTGTGCCAATCGCACTGTCTCCGACACACTCATCCCGATTACCCCAGTCACTGAATCAATCCATCTCCCAGAGGGCCTTCCCTTCCTGCGTTGTCCCTCCACCCTCCCAAGCATGATGTCCCTCTCCAAGGACCAGTCCCTCCCTACAAAATGACCAAAGTATGTCAGACAAAATTCAGTTTAACCCTCTCCAGGATGAATTTGTTTGTTTTCTTAACAGTCCATGGTATCCTGGAAAATTATGGAAAAGTTGGAAACAAAGGATTATAGTTGGAAAATAGGGTTGTGGTCACAAATGAAACTGGGAGTAGCATGATAGAATTTCATACAATCAATGATTTAGCCCTTTCAAATACCTTTAGCAAAATGCATAGACATCAACTATACGCATCGATCTCACCTGAAGGAACAGTAGTCAAATTGAGTACATCCTGTCAAAAGAGAAAGTAGGGGTGGGGAATAGAGAAAGCTCAATAACAATCAGAAGAAACAGAGGGGTCAACTGTAGAAGAGCTGCTAATTGTAGAAGCTGAAGAAAATAAAAACAAGGCCACATGAGCCAAGTACAAGTTTGAGTTAAGCCTATTTCAAGAATATATTAGATGCACTGAACACTAACAATTGAAAACCAATTTTTAGTATTGTGCATTTGTTTTAATTATTTTTAGCTTTAACATGAACTTGCACATGGAGAACTGATGAACTGTCCCCCAGTTGGCACCTGGCCTTGTTTGATTACATGCCGCTTCTCCACTCTCTCTTTCCATGGGTGCCGTTGACTAGATTCCTGTACATTCCATCAGGGGAGGTCTATGTGTATAGCTGCCGTGGAGGTTTTTAAAAATGAACTTGCAATAAGTAAGTTGTTGGTCATACAAAATTCTATCATGAGATCTCCAACCTCATTTCCATCTCCAAAGCCTTCTTTTCCAGCTACTCACCCTTTTTGTTTCCAAATTTTGCATTTCAATCACCAGTTATTATGAACATATCCTGATTGCATGTTTGATCAGTTTCTGTCTGTAGACCTTGCTAGAAATTTTCAATTTATTACTGTTTGGCTTTAGTGATTGGTGTATAAATTTGAATACTAAACATATTAATAGGTTGGTATGCACATTATTCTCTCACTAGCAGCATTATACTTCAAGATAGTCCTTGAAATGTTCTTTTTAAGATGAATGCAACACCATTCCTTTACAATGTGTAGAGGCATAGTAGACCATATGATTGTGTGATTCAAAATGGTCAATACCAGTCCATTTCAATTTACGGAAGTCTAGGGCATATGCATTTCATTTCAATTTTGCTAACTTCCAATTTTCCCACAGTTCCTTCATAAATTCCATGGTCCAATTATTCTAACATGAGAGCATCTTTTCCTGGCAATCCTGGTGGTGAGAATAAAGAAGTAAGTATAAGGATTCAAGTAAAGACACTCCAACAGAACATTACTTCCACGAAAACAGGAATGTGTGAGAGTGTGTGTGTGTGTGCATGTGTGCATGTGCACTCCCGTGTTAATGAACTGAGTGAATACAGAGGAAACTGGTTTTCCATCCAAGCATTAATAAACATTTTCTTTTGTGACTTTAATTATAATGTTGTTGTTGTTAAGTGTTGTAGTAGAGTTGTAGACAACTCATAGCTGCCCTTTGAACGAAAGACCTGAACACTTGTATAACTTCCATTATTTCTCCAAGTTCACAGAGTTTCCAAAGGCAAGCTATTTACGGAAGTAGATGCCACTCCTGCTTCCAAGCTTGTTTTAATTGGGGAGCTCTACCAAACACTGTCCACCATGGGTAACCATTATCACATTTGACACATCAGTGTCACAGTGTCTAGCATCACAGCAGCCAGGAGTTATCTCCATTGTTCTGCTTCCTCATTTTTCTCCTTTCCATTGGTCCTTCTCTCCTACCCTTTCCCACCTTCTCAGCTTTATCTCTAAGCAAAGATTGCCCTTGTACTCTTGAATTATTGATTATTTTGAGGAATGAACATATTTAGTGCTTTTGTTCACAACCTTTTTGGGTGAAAGTTGAGCCACAAGGTAATTTGAGGAGGAACTAAAAGTTCGGAGGTTATACCAGTTTTTATGGGAGCAGGAACCTGGACTATTTGTGTTTTCTGAGTCTTGTTTCTTTTCCTCCCACTCTGTGAAGGACTTTCCACTGTAATGCCTCTTGAAACGGGTCAGCAATGATGACCAGGTGTTCACCGTTGCATCATTTTTACTTAAAACAATATCTGACATATAGTAAGCACTCAATACGGACTGATGTAGTGACTGCAGCAATGGGCTCAAGCATGTCAGAAAAATATGTCAAGTACAGCACAGGATAGGACAGAGTTCAGATCTCTTGTTCATGGGGTCATTATGAGTCGTACTTAACTCAACAGTACCTAACAACAACATAAAGCAGACAATAAATATTTATTGAATAAATAAATACATGTATGTATGAATGGCTATATAGTTAAGGAACACTTGAGGATTTTGGTAAATATACACATCTAACTTGGCCAGGTGAAAATCATGAAGAAAAAAAGATTTATAAAAGTCACACTGTGGTAAAATGTCACTTTCTGGGTGGAGAAATGTTCTAACCCAGAATTGCATTTCCTATGTTTTCATTTTGCCTATTCACTCTCACCGACCTGTCACAAGCCCAGTATCAGAGATTCTGAGGGTTTTTAATATGTGAAACTGATAAGGAACATCGTGAGTTGGGTTAATATCTGAATTATGATTCACCAAGGAACTTACTTCTACTTAAAATAATGAAACCATTTATGAAAACCATTTATTTATGAAAAGTCACAATTTCCTAAGAAAAAGTATTATTTCAAGAACTCACAAAATACATAAAGAACAAAGTAAAATCCTCTGTTATGAGTCAAAAGTTCACCGAAAAAATTACAGCAACAATTAACACAACAAATGATGTACAGATTCATAACTGTGGATGCAAATCAAACCCCTAGAGACATAATTTTTAACCTAACATTGGTAAAAACTAAACATTTCCAGTTGTGATGAGATGTGGTGAAGTAGATATTCACTACTGACAATTAGTTCTTAAAAAGAATATGTGACATAATCTAGTTAAATGGGAAAAATCCCCAAACCAAAAAGCAACAAAACCCCAAGCACACATTGTTTGACAAAATATTTATACTGATAGGACACCCTAACAAAAGAATGTTAAGGTAACACCATGCAGCAATGTTTGCACCAGCAAAGCAAAACAAAGAAGGCATGAAATCACCAAACACCTTCCGACTCCTAAAAACAACTTAAGTATTGATCTAGGAGCCTAGGTTTAGACAGACAGGTGAGTGTCTAAACTCCTAAGTCTAATCAAGAACAACAGAAAGCTCATTACATCATCCTGCTGGTCCAGAATCAAGTCCAGGAAGACGTCAAAACTGCCGAACTAGTCAGCTTTATCAGCCAAACTGGGCCTGCGGAAGCATACTCTCCCCGCCCTCTATCTGTGGAACTATGACCTGTCTTGACATATGGTATATAACTTTTCTAATAAATCTATCTTTTCTTTTACCTTAAAAAGCAAAACAACTAATAATCAGAAAGTTAACAGTTCAATCAATATTATATATATA